GAGCCTTTGCTCCTACAGTCAGGCGCCAGGTCTGCGTTTGTGATTAGTTTTGTTGACGCACAGCCTCCTCATCATTGACCTGTCATCTCTGGGGTCGGGGTGGGGCCCCAGAAATGACTAGTTATAGTGAGGTGCCCTGGCCTGAGTCCTGACACTGATTATTACTGCCTGGCCCGTGACAGACAGTGTGTCGCCCGGTGTGTGGGTCGCCAGCGGGCTGGACAGACGAGCTGCCTGGGAAGCTGGCCTGCCACTGGGAGCGGGGACCCTGTGGGCCAGCTAGTGGCCCTCCCGTAATGCCCTGGCCCGTCCGCAGCACTCGCAGTGCCTTGGCAGCACAGCCTACACACGTCAAGGCCCGGGGTGCAGGAGTGCTGCCTTCCTGCTGCTCCTGGAACCAGACGTGAGCACCTAGCCTCGGTTTGCGCCCGTCATCTGACAGGTGCTGGATGTCCTCGTTTGAATGCTTGTGAACTTCATGCGGGTAGTCATGTGGCCAGCTGTGTGGTGGCTGAGCTTCCATTGGCCTCACCAGACAACAGAGAGGTGGGTCGGGGTTTTGGCCACGTGACTGCTAGATTCAGTGGAGGGGGCCTCCTGGGCCAGGCACCTGCGAGAGCTCCCTGCTCTGCCTGGGTATCCCAGGGGTTCGAGCTGGGTGACCACAGGAACAGGCCAGGGTCCCAGAGCCGGGTGACTGCTGGGAGGGGCTGGGGTCCCGGGGCTTAGTGTTCAGTGATCACAGGAAGGGGCCAGGGTCTCAGGAGGGAAGTCTGAGCCTGGCTCAGATGAGCTCGTGCGCCCGCCTCCCTGGGACCCAGCTGGCCGGTGGGCAGAGGTTGTGGAATGGCCCTGCGAGTGGAGTCAGGCTGCCTTCGTTTTTCCCGTTGGCTCATCCGAGGCCCCCCAACCCCCAGTCCAGCCTCCAGCAAACACCAGCATGACAGGATGCTGGCCAAGGACGTTTGCATCAGCAGACAGGTGCTCTGTTTGTCCCTTGGGCACAGACATGGGGCATCCCTGCACTTGCTGCGGCCTGAGAATGGGGCAGCGATTTGTCTGCAGAGCCGGAATGCTGTCCACCTCTGCTTATGGACAACAGTGGGACAAAAGCGAGTATCAGCTGTCTCCACTTGACTCTATCTTTCTAGAAACTGCTTTTGTCTGAATGAGTGCAGGTTGATGTGCTCACGTGCCCTGAGGGGCACCTTGCAGCAGCACCCCGTTCCAGGGGCTTCGAGGGCCCTGGTCACGCCCACTTGCTTTCTAGAATGAACTGTTTTTCCGCGTTGCGGGTAGTGGACTGAATGACAGCCACAGCTTCATGTCACCAGGGCCAAATCCAGCGCAGGGGCTGCAGGCGGCAAGGTCCCCGGGGGAGAGGGCTCTCTGGATGGCTTGGTGACTGCTGTCCTCAGAGGAGGGCCAGGCTCAGAGGAGGAGCCGTGAAGATGAAGCAGGGACAGTGTGAAGATGTTCCTCTGCTGGCTGTGGGGACCCAGGAGGGAGAGGGGGCCGTGGGCAGAGGAGTGTGGACGGCCTCCTCCTCCCACGGCCGCTGGCTGGATGCTGCCTTGTAGCGACCTGCCTGCCAGCAGGTCTGTGAAGCTGTTACTTTTAATGGATGGGACTGCCCCTCTTTCTCCCATGAAGCAGCAGGTGGATTTGAACTCTCGGCCTTCTGGTGGTCAGTGCAACACTCTGTGTGCCGTGCCGGAGCCTCAGGAATCTGAAAGAGCGTGGACCCTGGCCTGGTGGGCGCACAGCTCCGGCTCAGGCAGAGCGCATGGCGAGCGTGCACGGCCGGGCACTGGCGTGGGGTCACTTTCTGCCTTCAGACTGTGAGCCCTGTCTGGCCCCTAGGCGCTCGCTGTGTCCTCCTGAGTCTCCCGGACCTCGTGCCCTACCAGCCCTGCTGACCTTGCCCTGGTGGTTCAGAGCCTGTGCGTCTGGCCTTGGCCTTCCTGCTCTGTCCTCTCGACCTCATGGTGGTGCCAAGCATTTCTGTGCCCGGCACCTCTACCCAGTGTCCTCTACACTGGCCCCAGGATGCTGGCCCGTCTGCGCCTCCCTGTGCCCTTACACTGACCTGGCCAGCTCACTGGAGCTGGAACAGGCGATGGCAGCAAGTCTGAGGGTGGGGCCTGGGTCCTTCTGGCCAGAGAGGCCTTTCTGACGCCGGGCGGTGGGGACCTGCGTGACAGTTGGGCAGCAGGTGCTTGCCTTGTACATTGAGGCCATGCCCGTCCTTGCCTGGTGGGGGCCTGGCACAGGGCGGCTGAAGCAGAGAGAGATGATGTGATGTCCAGGCCTGTCCTTGCCCGTGGGGGCCTGTCCTTGCCTGGTGGGGGCCTGGCACAGGGCCACTGAGGCAGAGAGAGATGAGGTGATGTCCAGGCCTGTCCTTGCCCCTGGGGGCCTGGCATCAGCCGGCTGAGGCAGAGCATGATTTTGTGATGTCCACGCCTGTCCTTGCCTGGTGGGAACCTGGCATCAGCCGGCTGAGGCAGAGAGAGATGAGATGATGTCCACGCCTGTCCTTGCCTGGTGGGGACCTGGCATCAGCCGGCTGAGGCAGGGCGCATTTGTTCTGCAGCCGTGCGTCTCCAGAAGCCATCTTCCTCCTGTACGTCCTCCGCAGGCCGGATGTGTGCCAGAAGACCCCTCCTGTCGGTCAGGTGTCCCCGCTGCCCCTGGATGCATTCTGGACACACCCAGGGTTGAGGGTTTGAGGGGCATTTTGTGAGATTTCTGGACACGCCCTAGCCATGGACCCGTGACCCCTGAGAGCACAGGAAAAGTCCCTACCGCCGTCCAAGTTCAAATTCTCAGGTAGATGGCCAACAGATGGCGAGTGGGCAGCTGAGAGCTGACCCAGAAGTGAGGGTGGTGTCCCTTCAGAGTTTCTCACCTATGATCTCCACTCACTGGGTCTCAGCCCCTCCCTCTAGCTGGCCCTTACTGATTGGACAGAGGCTTCTCCAGGGTAGGAGTTTGATTGGTGAGAGAGAGCCTTCTGGACGCGGGAGGCAGTCCCCGTGGACGTGGACGGACTGTGGCCAGCAGTCCTCTTCCTGCCACTGTGGGTGGTGCTGCAGTGAGCACAGATGCCGTGGATTTTCCCACATACCTGCCTTCAGCTCTCAGCTGGTAGAAGTGCTGGATTGTATGCTAACTCTTTAAACGGCTAAAGAGCAAGGATGCTACTTGCAGGAGTAAGGTGTTCCAGACTAAAGTCATGATATTTTTCAATAGCCGCTTAAGAAGGAAAAACTGGAGAAGGAGTGAGCAAGACTGAGGAATGAATGCCTTTGGATTGTGATGTTGGTGCAGAATATTGAATATCTTGTGGCCTGCTAGAAGAGCAAACAAATCTTTCTTAGAATTACATCCACAGTGTTCCTTAGAAGCAAGGATGGTAAGAGTTCTTCTCATCAGTGTGGACCATCTTATCTGGAGCGACCAGTCCCTGTACAAGGACCTTCTGTTGGGTAGAGGGTCAGTGAAAGAGAGGAAGCCTCTCACTGAGGCAGGGTTGACAGGGGCTGCGACAGTGGGCGATGCTGCAGAGATGGGCAGGACACACCGGACTGGGCAGGGTGGACACGGGCTGCGACAGTGGGTGGGCTCGGATGCTGCAGAGGTGGGAAGAACGTGCCGGACTGGGCGGGGTTTCGTTCTCTTCCACTGAACTTACCGTGTCACACTGAATCAGAGCCCATGTAGTGTCCCCTATCTGCACGACAACATAGTGTGTGTCCAGCCTCTTGAGGAAGCCTTCCACTGGTCCTCCCAGGCAAATGTGATGACAGTCCATTGCAAGGTGCAGGACCCCGCGGCACCTGTGAGCAGGTGACTTGCTGGCTCGTGGGGGCGTGGGGCGGCAGCACCCGCTGGGATGACACCAATCCCCTGCTTTTTGCTCGCCTCCCTCTGGTGCCTTGCTTCAGGAACCTGACACCATTTCTCACGGTGCTGAAATCCTGCCGAGGTCCGGGATCCACACCCTCTGTCTCCTGCCCTGGGCCGGCCTCTCCTGGTGTCCACACCCCTCTGCCCCCAGTGTGGCCCTCTCAGGCTGGACATCACTGTGGCTCGGGACCTTTGGTGTTGGAGCGCTGGGTACCAGTTGCTGGGCGATGCTGCCCTCTAGTGTCCACTGGTTGGAACGCACGTGGTGAGCCAGGGACCTTCTCGTGTCCACTTCTGGCCTGCCTTCTCATTCCTGGTCTCTGTGGGGTGGGAAGGCAGGCACAAGGTGCACTTTGTTCTGAGCTCTCCCCTCTGTGTGCTCTTCCTACCTTTTCAAATCCTAGAGGTGACTGCAGTCTGTCTGGGCCCCTCCAGTGGGGCTGGGCTGCCAGCTGCCAGCGGTTTCCCCAGGACAGGAAGGTGCTTCTCTGGCCATTTCACCTTGATGTCAGTTTGATGTGACAGCCAGGGTCAAAGTGCACCACGCAGGCCCCGTCTGAGCCTGGCCAGCCCCTGGCCACGTGTGTCCTCGTAACACCAGGTTCCATAGGGCTCTCAGCCGCTGAGGCTTCAGAAGCAGTTCCCCAGGCTTTTTCCCTGCTGTGCCTCTGGGTGGACTTGAACCTCCAGCCTTGGGGTTAACAGCCAAGTGTTTTTACAGTTTGCATCTACTAGATTTCCACAGAACGTCCAGAGCAGTTTGTAACTGACTAGGCCTCCTCAGGAGCCCTGGAGAGACACTCGGGCTGACCCCAGGGTTGACAGTTCTAACCTGTCAGCTGCCCTGAGGGAGAAGGTTGTGGGAAGTCGGCCGCTGTGAGCGCTGTGTGGTGTGGTCGGAGCCTCTGCTGGTGGGCACAGTCTCCAGGCCCCGCTCATCAGCGCCTCCTCTCTGGGGCTCAGTTCTCAGGCCAGGGTGCCCCTGCTGTCTGATTAAAGCGCCTCGGGCCCTCCTTGGTGGCCTGGCCTTCTCCCAGGTGCCCTGACCTTTCTCTCTCCACAGGTGTGGTGTGCTCACCGCTGCAGCCATGGGGTCCGAGGACCACAGCGCCCAGAACCCGAGCTGCAAGATCATGACCTTCCGCCCCACCATGGAGGAGTTCAAGGACTTCAACAAATACGTGGCCTACATTGAGTCCCAGGGGGCCCACCGCGCGGGCCTGGCCAAGGTGGGTGAGGCCCTGCCCCTCTGCCCTGGGGCGCCAGCCCCAGCACGGCTAGTGTGCACTGCGCTTTCACATGGGCAGCACTCGGGGTTCACACCCCCGAGAACCTCCGTCGTTTAGCCGCGCTGACTGAGCTCATTATACACCGTGCTGCGAGTGGAACAGAGATCAGCCACAACTCCACCCTCCGGGGTGCAGGAGGCTGGGGCATTGTGCGGGGAGCCCTGCCTTGTGGGGTTCTGCCTTCCATGAAGGAGAAGGTTCCATACAGGCAGGGTGTCACCTTAGTCATCAGAAACAGGGACCCCACAGCGGATGGCTCCAACAAGTTCAAGTTCACTGTCTTACGGATTAGGAGGCTCGCTCTCTCCTTTCCTTTCTGCCTCGTTGCCATCAAACCAGCACGTCGTGACCCTCCACTGGGTTTCTGAACTAAACCACATGGGAAGAGATGGCCCATTTTGTGCCTTTGGAGGCACTGGTGCAGTCACACCACCAGCAAGCCCAGATGCAGGGTGCCAGCTCCCGGGGAGGCCCTCTGTCCCTTTATGTCCACAGCACGGCCTCCCACGTACCAGGCAGCCAGCGCTCCCTGTGGAAGGCCCGGAGCCTGGATTCAGGGTGCCAGCTCCCTGGAGGCCCTCTCTCCGTTTTGTTTTCTGGGATGGACCATGTTTTCCTCAGCACCCCCAGGCCTGGCATTCCCTGGGAACCTCCACATCTCTGGTCTTGCCTGGTGTCACGTCGCTTCCTTGAGCAGGTGCTGGGTCCGTGTGGACACCCTTCCTGTCTGGTCTTCTTGGTGTACTGACGTCCCCCTGGCTTGCTCTTTTTACTGTGTTGTCACCGTGCTTGGGGGACCTGCATCTGATCAGGACAGTGCCACCCTCCACATGGAATCTTCTGGTAGCTATCTGTGCTTCATTGGATCTTTGGAGACGATTCCATGCTCACCACGTTGTATCATTACGTACGTGTGTTTTCTGAAGACACAGTGTGACAGGGTGGGGTCCCTGGTTCCCTCACTCCTCCTCGTGCAGCAGTCCTGTTTAGGGCGCTGACCGGCAGAGGCCATCTCCCCGCTGGCTCCCGAGCAAGGCTTACCTTCCTCCGACTGGTGATCTCTGCGTGGCAGCTGGCCCTCTCGGCCACCTTCCTTGGTGCCTGATCTGTTCTTTGCCCACTCATCGCTGCCCTGGGCTCATTATCGTGACACAGCAAGGCCTGCCTGGAACGGGAATCTCTCCAGAGGTGTAAGGTCTAGTATTTCTGAGCGAACACAGTTTGATCTGTGGGGGGGCTGTGTGTGTGGGTGTGTGTTGCACGGCCACCTGCTGAACCTCTGTTGTGGGTCTTCTGGTTGTTTCTATGTGACTGTCACTTTATCTGAGACATCGCGATCTCTACTGACCAGATTAAATCCCAAACCAAACCAGCTCCCATCCTCTCAGCCCTGACTCGTGGTGACCCTGAGTGCCTCGGAGCAGGACCTTGTCCACTAGGATTGTCAGAGGTGGATTGCCAGGCCTTTCTTCTGAGGTACCTCTGGGTGGGTTCCAACTATAAACAGCTAACAGCTGAGAGTATTATCCACTTGCCCCACCTCAGGACCATTGTTTAGGACGGTGGGTGGCAAGCATATTCCATGAAAGACCAAATAGTAGATATTTTTGGTTTTGTGGGCCATATGGTTACTGTCACAACCACTCCGTTTTCAGCCATTGTAGCTTGAAAACTACTGTAGACAATATGGAAACTGGAATGGGCATGGCCATGTGCCAATAAAACTTTATTTATAGACATTGCATGCGAACTTCACATTATTTACACTTGTTATGAAACATTATCCTTTTGATTTTTATCAACTGTTTAAGAATGAAAAAGAGATTGGTAACTCCTGGCTTCTGGGCTGTTTAGAAGCGGGTGGAGGCCAGGCTGGTGCGCGAGCAGGAATTGGCCTGGACTGTGGTGTCCAGACCCCTGGGCGGTTCCTGTGATGATTCCTGAGAACAGCAGCTCCTGTTTCTCCCGCCCTCTGCCCCCCGGCCTAGTCCTGGCGGATTCTGTTACTAAGAATAGTCTTCTGGTGTTTATCTTCACGTCTTTAATAACAAACTAGTGCTTTTTTTAAAAAAATAAGAATTTTCATTTTAATTGTGATTTTAATGAAAGTTTACGGAAAAGTTAGATTTTCATTCTTTCATTGTTGCATTTACCCCCTCCCTTCCTTCGCCCTCCCCAGTTCACTTTTTTAAAAAAATATTTGTTCCTTGTAGCATAGTTCCCCCCACCCCCACCCCCACCCCCATCCTCTATGCAACGTACTTCTTATCCTGGGCTGTTGTACGTATAATGCCTAATCATAGCTTCCTTTCAAACAGTTCTCTTCTTTGTCTGTTGCAATGCAGTGCTCATTAATTAGCCTCTCTTTTCTGGATTTCCTGCTAGGCACTGTGTCAGTCCTGTTTTATAACAGTGATGCTATTTAATATTTGTCCTTTTGTGACAGAGATATTTCACTCAGCGTAATGTCCTCAAGGACAGGTTGGGTAATATTTTATGAGTTTCTTGTTTTTCAGTGCTGCATGATATTCTTTTGCGTGAATATACCATCGTTTTTCTATCCATTCATTTGTTGATGGGCACTTGAGTTGCTTCTATCTCTTTGCTATTGTGAACAGTGCAGCAATATACATGGGTGTGCATTTATCTGTTTGGGTGGCAGCTCTGGTTTCTTTAGAGTATATTCCTACTAGTGGAATTACTGGGTTAAATGATATTTCTAGTTCTACCTTTTAGAGAAAGCTCCATACTGCCTTCCATAGTGGTTGCATCATTTTACACTCCTGCCAGCAGGGACTAAGGGTTCCAGTTTCTCTACAACCTCGCCAGCATTCACTGTCTGTTGCTTTCCTATTGTTGTTGGGGTAGATTGACACCTCATAGTTGTTTGTATTACTTTTTTAATTGTTGAAGTACTAATTTATTATATAGGAAAACATAAGCTCAGTTATTGTTGTTAGGTGCTGTTGAGTCAACCATGACTCAGCGTGATGCTGACCCTCAGGTGAGAGCCCTGCCCGGTCAGTACTGCCCTCACTGTCCCCGAGATGCTCGAGCCCATTGCTGTGTCCGTCTGTCTGGTTGAAGACCTTCCACTCTTTCACTGACCCTCCTCCTTTCCCAGCATGACGTCTTCTGCCAGGACCTGCTCCTCCTATCAGGCCCAGAGATTGTGAGGCGATGCTGTGGCGTCCTTGCCTCCCCGGAGCACTCTCCCTCAGACATGCTTGTCTGTTCTTTCGGCGGTGGGCTCTTCAGCACTCTCCTCCAGCACCGCAACTCAAAGGTGTCGCTGCCGCCTCTGTCCTTTTTATTCATTGTCGTGTGCAGAGGATGCAGGAGTGGCATCCACTTCCTAAATAACATGCCTCTGGAAACTCTGTGAACTTTGATAAATGACGATACTTACAGAAAGGCTTCAGGCCTTTTGTTCATAGGGTCACGGTGAGTCATGCTCAACTGGACAGCAATCAACAACAACAACAACAACAGTATGCATTGTTGTTGTTGTTATGTGCCGTCGAGTCGCTTGCGACTCATAGCGACCCTTTGTACAACAGCCCTAAACTCTGCTCTGTCCTGTGCCATCCGCACTGTCTCTGACACTCCCATCCCGATTACCCCAGTCACTGAATCCATCCACCTCATAGAGGGCCTTCCTCTCCTGCACTGTCCCTCCACGCTCCCAAGCAAGATGTCCTTCTCCAAGGACCGATCTCTCCTCACAACATGTCCAAAGTATGTTAGACAGAGCCTCAGAATCCTTGCCTCCAAGGAGCCACCCGGTTTAACCCTTTCCAGGACAAATCTGTTTGTTTTCCCAGCAGTCCATGGTATTGTCAATACTCTTCTCCAGCACCACAGCTCAAAGGCATCAATTCTCCTTCTATCCTCCCTGGTCATTGTCCAACTCTCTGATGCATAACAAGTGATTGCAAAGACCATGGCCTGTATCAGACGCACCTTAGTCTCCAGAGAGACACCATTGCTCTTCAGTACTTTGGAGAGGTCCCTAACAGCAGACTTTCCCATGGCAATGCACCTTTTAATTTCCTGGCTGCTGATGCCAAGACTGTTGACTGTGGAGCCAAGCAAACTGAAGCTGTGAACAATCTCAATCTCTTCACCATCCATCCTGATGCTGCCAATTGGTCCAGTGGTGAGAATCTTTGTCTTCTTGACACTGAGCCTCAATCCATATTGGAGGCTGCAGTCCTTGACCCTCTGCAGCAAGCGCTTCAGGTCATCCTCGGTTTCAGCAAGCAGGGTTGTGTCATCCGCATAACACGAGCTCCCTTATCAACAGTATGCATAGGAAGCAATTGAAAAGATCATGTTTTGAATCAAACGCACTTTAGTCTTTAAACTGACACCACTGTCATCAGAACCGGGGCGAGGTTCTTAAGCAGACTTTCCTAATACACACGTCTGTTGATTTCCTGACTACTGGGACCAAGGGTGTTGATTGTGGACCCCAGTAAGAGAAAATTATTAACAATTTCATCTTCCCTTCATCTACCATAATGTTGTCTGTTGGGCTAGCAGTGAGTATTTTTGTTTCCTTAATGTTGAGATGTAACCCATTGTAAAGGGAGCAGGTCAGATGCGGTGGTGGCCGAGTCTGACTTCTGACCACTTCATAAAGGGGAACTGACCCTGTCAGCAAACAGATAGCTGCTCCCTCAGACATACCGCCCCAGTGCTCTTGCACCTCTTTTGACCAGTCATCCGGGTCTGATTTTTGTGGTTGACTCAAACTTTACTCACAGTTATGGTGTTTACTGTGGATATTCATTGGGGAGTGGGAGAGGCAAAGAATATCATCCAGTCCAAATCCAGGTTTCGTCCAGAAGCCCCCAAGCCAAACATAGTTCCTCATTTACTGAAAGCACCAGTTCAGTTGAGTAGCACAAATCCAAATCGTCCAGCAGGGTTCACCT